GTCGGGGCTGGAGAGATGGCTCAGAGGTTAAGAGCACTGACTGCTCTTCCAGAGGTCCTGAGTTCGATTCCCAGCAACCACATGGCGGCTCACAACCATCTGTAATGAGATCTGGCGCCCTATTCTGTATACATAATAAATAAATAAATCTTTAAAAAAAAAAAAAAAAAACATAAAGTCTTCTCTAGTTTTCCAGTACTAGGTTTCCTGATATTACATGGTGGAAAAATCATTATATACCTTCAAAAACCCAAGAATGTCCAACACCAAAAGTGACCGCTAATGTAAACTGAGGATGATGTGTCAAAGGAGGTTCAGTGGGTTTGTTTGTTTTTTGAGACATGCTTTCTTCTGTGAAACAGTCCTGGCTGTCCTGGAACTCACTCTGTAGACCAGGCTAACCTCAAACTCATAGAGATCCCCCTGCCTCTCCCCTCTCAAGTGCTGGGGTTAAAGGCATGCGAAACCACCGCCCAGCTAGGAGGTTCAGTTTTTTGTTTTTAATGATTTATTTAACTTTATTTTTTGTTTTTGTTTTGGAGCTGAGGATCGAACCCAGGGCCTTGCCTAGCAAGCGCTCTACCACTGAGCTAAATCCCCAACCCTAACTTTATTTTATGTGCATTGGTGTGAAGGTATCAGGTCCCCTGGAAGTGGAGTTAAAGACAGTTGTGAGCTGCCATGTGGCTACTGGGAATTGAACCCAGGTCCTCTGGAAGAACAACAACCAGTGCTCTTAACCACTGAGCCATCTCTCCAGCCACTAAGAGGTTCAGTTTTAACAAATCTGTATGCATGTGCCACAGTGAGGAAGGGGTGGGGGATCATCAGCAAGAGCTGATGCAGTACCACCTAAGTTCCAAGCAAGCCTAAACTGTATAGCAAGTCCCCCTTTCAAACTGAAACAAAAACAATACAGTACCAGGAGTTTACATTTTAATTGGATATAAAGTGAAGAAATACCCCCAACACAGTACCATAGCCACTCACCATCCAAACCAATCCACATTTCTACACGTGCATTGAAAACAACAACGAAATACATCAGCTGGCCAGCGCGGTGCGTACTTATAATCCCAGCACTTACAGAGGTAGAGGCAGGAAGATGAGGAGTTCAAGATCATCCTTAATGACATAGCGAGTTGTAGGTCAGCTTGGGCTACATGACACTGTCTGAAATGACTAAGATTTAAAACTGCACAGTAGGAAAAGTTAAAAAGTGTGTCAGCCTACACACTCTGGCTACTAGTGGGACAGAGAAGGTTACAAGAGCCAGACTATCACCTCAAAAAACCATCAAATACATTTAATGACTATCTTCACACTTCCACTTTCAGGACAGTGTTTAGTGGTTTCAAAGAACCCAGCTCTTCGGCTCAGACTTGCTCGGACAGATGAACACCGCGATGTTAAGTTTCCTCTGACCTCTGAAGTTGGCTTGGCAGCCCTAGTCAGGAAATGACCTATTTCTCTGAAGACAAAGTTAGATTAATTGATCACGGTGGGAATGAAAAACAAACACTATTGCTAAGAAAACGTCATAGCATTTCTAAAACGTCAGAGGGGGGAAAACACAAATATTAACCAAAACATTTAATGTTAGAATCCATTTTTTTTTTTTTTTTAAAGACAGGGTCTCGTGCCGGGCGGTGGTGGCGCACGCCTTTAATCCCAGCACTCGGGAGGCAGAGGCCGGCGGATCTCTGTGAGTTCGAGGCCAGCCTGGTCTACAAAGTGAGTCCCAGGAAAGGTGCAAAGCTACACAGAGAAACCCTGTCTCGAAAAACCAAAAAAAAAAAAAAAAAAAAAAAAAAAAAAAAAAAAAAGACAGGGTCTCAAATAGCCCAGGCTGGCCTGGAATTTGCTACATCACTGAGGATAACCTTGAACAGCTGATCCTCCTGCCTCTACCTGACAAGGGCTGGGATTACAGGTGTGACCCAACCCAGAGCTCCATCTGCAGTAGGCACTCTACCAGCTGAGCTACACCTCAGCCTCGGGACAAGTTGCATTTAAGAAAGAGAAGAAAACCCTGTCTTTGTTTTTAATCCAATGCATTGCTAAACGGCCATGCGTTCTACTTCCAATGTCAAGAACAATGCATGTAAGGAGGAAGTTCAGCTTGACTTAATCACAATTTATCCATTTACTATAGACAAATATTTCTGAGCTTTATCACTACTGCACTTGAAAAAGAACTGCCAACATATGCTTACAGAAGTATGGTCAGGCTGGAGAGCTGGCTCAGCAGTTAAGAGCACTGGCTGCTCTTCCAGAGGACCTGGGTTCAATTCCCAGTACCCATATGGCAGCTCACAACTGTCTGTAACTCCAGTTCTAAAGAATCTGACATTCTCACACCCATGCATAAAGATAAATAAATTATTTTTAAAAAATTAAATGGAAAAGTTAAAAATAAAAAATAAATAAAATAAAATAAAAAAAGTAGGGTCGGTGGGAACAGTAGACAAAATCACGGGCACATTTTGCTGCCCCCTCCCCAAAGGTCAGCAACTAAAATACAGCCCAGAGCAAGGAAGCAACCCAAGTAACATTCCTTAAACGCCGCCAAAGCCTCAACCTTACATATGCCAAGACAGCTGGAAGAAAGAGGTGGGGGATTATGTTTTATCAAGACAAGATTTCTCTGAATTGTCAGCTCTCTGAGAAAAATAAGAATGTCTACACAGAGGACCTATGCGTACAGCAATGGACATTTTACCAATATGATGAGAATACCACCAGGTAAAGGTTTCATTTCCGGGGGTGGAGGCAGAACCCAGCGCCACTAGATGCTCTACCACTGAGCTACATCCAGCCTTGATTATTTTCTAGTTACTTTTATTTTCTATTTTATAGAAATTTTCTATTTGCATCAAATAGTTTAGCATTTTGCTAGCACTGAATTGTATGTGTATGTTTGTACCCTAACTCCCATGGTGACTATCTGGAGATAAGATCTTCATAGAGTAAAAACTTGTATGATCTTGTAAAGACTGAACAAGAGTGGGGCGCACACCTTTGATCCCAGCACTCAGGAGGGAGGCAGAGACAGGAGGATCTCTGTGAGTTCAAGGCCAGCCTGGTTTTATAAATCAATTTCCAGGAAAACCAGGACTGCTACACAGAGAAACCCTGTGGGGGTGGGGGTGGGGAGGGAATGAGGTTTTAGTTACTGAAAACAATTAGAAAGTTTAAGCAATGTACAGTTCGGGGGGTGCACTCCTGAAATCCCAACACTCAGGAGGCGGAGGCAGAGGATCCCATTCTGACGACTTATGAAAGAGAAAGGAAGGAGGATGACAATAAACACCAGCAGCCCCACAATCCTAAAATAACCTAAACTGGACTTCAGGAGGCTCATTAAAAAAAAAAAAAAAACAAGCCGGGCGGTGGTGGCGCACGCCTTTAATCCCAGCACTCGGGAGGCAGAGCCAGGCGGATCTCTGTGAGTTCGAGGCCAGCCTGGACTACCAAGTGAGTTCCAGGAGAGGCGCAAAGCTACACAGAGAAACCCTGTCTCGAAAAACCAAAAAAAAAAAAAAAAAACCTGCATGGCTATTAATATTTTTAAAAAGATTTTGAAATTTATTTTTTTATGTGTATGTGTAATGTCTGCAATATATATGTATACCTTGTAGGTGCCTGGTACCCACAGAGGCCAGAAGAGGGTGTCTAATCCCCTGAACCAAGAGTTATAGAAGGTTGTGAGCCACCCCATGTGGATGCTCAGAACTCAAGTAAGAGCTCTAAAGTGCAGAGCCATCTCTCTAGCACCCCACAACCCCCAAAAGTGGCTTTCAAGGAGCAACCTAACCCAATTCTCAGCTTCCCTCTGATACCGTAATACATAACTACTTATTAGCACATTAAAAAGATTCCAGATGCAAGACAATGGGTCATTCATGATATAAGATTTCTAAGCATTAAAACTTAATTTAACAATATGTAAAGTGTTCAATCAACTTATTTTTGTAGCCAGGTGGCACACACCTTTATCTCAGCACTTGAAGGGGCAGAGAAAGGTGGATCTCTGGTCTACATAGTGAGTTCTAGGTCAGCCAGAACTACTTAGTGAGATCCTGTCTTGAAAATAAATAAAATTTAAATAAATAAATAAATAAATAAATAAATAAATAAATAAATAAATAAACCCCACTATATTTGTAAGTAAATACTTTGGGGACAATCCATTCCCCTCACTCAATTTTTTTGAGACAGTCTCACCATGTATCTCTAGCTGGCTTCAAACTCACAGGTATATACACCGGCCTCTGCCTCCTGAGTGTTGGGATTAAAGGTGTGTGCCACCACATCTGGCTTAGTTCCTGTTTTATCATGCACCCAAATATCTTACTATCATCACAAGATCTGGCTGGTATATATTTGAAACAGGTATAGTCTAAAGGGCACCCAGTACCTCAAAACAAAATCTTATCTACTGTAAAGAAGCCAAAATAAACCCCAAGACCAAAGCAACCAAGACCAAGTGGCTTCGGAATCTCTAGACAGTGTGAAGTCTTCCCATTTTATCTAACCCATCATATATCTGTGTGTGTATATCTTTACACACACACACACACACACACACCCCTATATATGATACACTCACGTATTTATTATCAGAAATGCAACCACCTCATATAAACTTGGAAACCATGTAACTGCTCACTTTCGGTCATGACCACTCTAAAAGACGCCTATAGTTTATTTTGTTACTTCCTCCTGGCACACATAGTATATTGACACAGTTTGGACAGGAACAATTTTATCCACACACTGACAAAGTGTAACGCATTTTCCTTGAGCCAGGTGCAGTGGTTAATGCCTTCAAGGCAGCACTGGGGAGGCCTCGTGAGGCAGGAGGATGCCACATGCTCAAAGGCAGCCTCCCTTCAGGCCATAACAAGACTTTTCTCCAAAATGTAAAACAACAAATAACAACAAAAAAAGAAAAGGATGGGGTGGGGGTACAAACCCTTAAACACTTTAAAGGATACTCTCCACCATTGCTGCCACGTCCAGCTTGTCGATATCAGGTGAGCCAGGGCAACATTTCTTGAATTCTTTTCGAAGATCAAAAAAGGAATAGAAGCATTCAGGAAGTAATACATTCTGAGGGAGGATAAGGCAGAGGCTGTTAACTAGGTGAACCTGGTCCACATTTCTCTAATAACTAGGAACCTAACAATGGAATATAGTACATTTACCAGTTTTTAGAAATATAAAATTCAGGCCGGGCGGTGGTGGCGCACGCCTTTAATCCCAGCACTTGGGAGGCAGAGGCAGGCGGATCTTTGTGAGTTCGAGGCCAGCCTGGTCTACAGAGCGAGATCCAGGAAAGGTGCAAAGCTACACAGAGAAACCTTGTCTCGAAGAAAAAAAAAAAAAGAAATATAAAATTCAGTGTGGAATGGCTCCATTTTTAATGCTTGATCATAATACTGAATTAGATCCTGTAGCAATTTCACAAAGGCACCTCACTATAATGGAATGGATAACAGTGTTACAGTCCACTGTGCCTTCTAATCAAACCATTTTTGTTTTTCTCGTTTTGTTTTGTTTTGTTTTGGAGACAGGGTTTCTCTGTGTAGCTTTGGCTGTCTTGGAACTCACTCTGTAAAGCAGGCCTGCCTCTGCTTCCCGAGTGCTGGGATTAAGGCGTGCGCCACCACAAACCATTTTTTTTTAATTTTAATTTAGCTTTATGTGTATATGTGTATTTGTGTGCATGTGCACCAGATGGGTAGGTTCTCACAAAGGTCAGAAGAGGTTGGCAGAACCTCTGAGACAGGAGCTGCAGGAACTGATGGTCAGATGTGAGGGTCAGGAACCGAACATATCCCTGCTAAGCCCTGAACCACGCCCCGCCCGATCAAACCCTTTCTGAAGCTATGACACATGTGCACTACGGTGCTGTTATTTTTCAGGTCACAGTAGACTTTTTCTAGCTGTTATCATTTTGGACCATCTGTATTTTCAGGTATCATTTTTTCCCAGATAAATTTAGACTAAGATTAAGTGGTAAGATTGTGCAGTTCTAACTACTGTTGAGTCCCAGTAATATGTACATTTGTTATCAAACATGGCTAGGAGTAGTAAATTCCCTACTCTTTGCAAAAGATTACTTTTGTGCCAAATTACAGTCCTGTATTAGTTTTTGCCCCTCCTTCTGGCTCTACCTGAGAATTCGAATTAATTTTAAAAATATGCATCACAGGGACTGAAGAGAGGACTCTGGTCAAAGCACTGTTCAATCCCCAGCACTCACATGGTGACTCAATCACCTGTCTCTTCCGGACTGGGAATCTGACACTCTCTTCTGATCTCCACAGGCACGCATGCACATGCCACACACAATCCATGCAGGCAAAACACCAATACATATAAAAAAAATAAAATAAAATAAATCTTCAACCAACCAACCACAGGCTGGTCAGGTGGCTCAGTGGGTAAGGAGCTTAAGCCTGATGATGAGTATGATTCCTGAAACCCACATAACAGTGGAAGGAGAGAATGGACTCTAGGTTATCCTGACCTCAACATGTGAATGTGGCATGCTAGCACCGCACGCATGCACAGTAACAAAACATTTAAAACCAAAAGGCACACAACTAGACAAGTAGTCAAAGTGCACTAATTCTGGAGGCTGGAGAACTGTGAGACTATGCCCAGCCTGAGTCATATAAGACTGTCTCAAAAAAGCCAAGGGTGGTAGAGTGCCTGCGTACCATGTGCAAGGTTCAACGCTCAGAGGTTCAATTCCCAGCCACAGATCAAACAGAAGAGGAACTTTAAGTCAAAGCAAAGGAGAAAGTTACCTCCTATTCTTAGCTCTGAACACCACTCTTGTGGCTAGTAAAGGTCACTGTGCAGATAAATAAATACTACAGCACTGGTTAAAGGTTTTGTTAATTTGTTTAAGACAGAGTCTCCTTGTATTATGCCTGGCTGACCTCAAACTCAAGGCTGGGCAAGACTTGAACTTTCTTTTTCTTTTTCTTTAGTTTTTGGAGAAAAGGTCTCTCTCCACAGCCCTGGCAGTCCTGAACTCATGACCAGACTGGCCTCAAACTCAGAGATCCACCTGCCTCTGCCTCCCTAGTTCTGGGACTAAAGGCATGCGCCACCACACCTGGTTAAGTCTTGAACTTCTGACTGACATCCCTTGCCACTCCCCCTGAATGTGCCTCCACACCTAGTTTTATGCAGGCTGGGGGATAAACCCAGAATGCCAGACACACATGCTATTAGCTGAGGTAAATCCTCAGCCCTGAAGGGTAATTCTGGGCTGCTGCTTTTTGTTTGGAACCTACTATATGACCCCAGGCTGGCTTAGAACTCATATCCTGGCTCAGCTTCAAGGGCACTGTTGTTATAGGTATGGATCACCATTCCTGAATAAAAATTTTCTTTACAAGGCAGAATTCAGATTTCCCCCCTTTTTTACATTATTTGCTGGGTAGAGCACACACATGTCAATGCATGAATGTGGATTCTAGTCAGCGTGATTTTCTCATACTGTATCTGAAATCAGCATCATCGAATCGCAGTAACTATGTGAAGCATGAATTCTCACAATGTCCTATGCTCATGACAATCTACAGCACTAACTCACACAACAGGAAAACATCAGTTTAAATCACTATTCCCAACTGAAATACTTAGCACTTTATTTAGTGTTTATAAAGGTACTGACATTACACTAAATTATAAAAGCAAAATAAACAAGTTTGTATAGTATAAATGCTATTGCAAAAATAATGCATCCCCACAGAATTCTAGAGAATATGTAGTATTTGAATGTAAGGGAAATTTGTTCATCTTTTGCTTTCTGTGTAGCAAGTTATTTTCTTTCATGTTTTGCCATTTTGCGTGTAAAGGAATATATATAATTTTTATTACAACACTATTTTTATAGAAATGGCTCGGGAAACTACCATGATTTCCTCTGGAAGTTTTCTCCCCTTCAAAGCAATCCATCTAAAAAATGACAGAAGACACTATGCTGGGCACAGTGGCCCTTACCCGTAACCCAGCACTGAGGAAATAAGGGAGGAGGCTCTTGAGTGAGAGGCCATCCTACACTGTATTCATTGACAGGCTAGCCTGGGCTATAACCATCCCGAAACCTGCTGTAAAAAGCTTTTGCCAATAGTGAAAGAACTAAGGAATTAAGTCTTGGCCCTTCATCTATGACTTGAGGGTTGGAGGGGAAACCTCCTTTGTACTTGAGTCAATGACATGGCTATTGGTATGCCATTCCATAACATCAACCAGTTACTAGATTCCTAGAAAAGAAGTGATCAACCTTCAAGATGGAGGACCTGGGGTTCATCCTACAGACTTCCCAATTGTACATTTAACTAACTTACCAGCTTTCCCTACTTTAGAGAAGGAAGACAAAGAAGTCTGGGCTAACTGTACCTGCCTGCGTCTATTTCAATCTACCAACTTTCTTAGCCTCACAACCTTTTCAACCTCAGCGCCTGCCTAGTTGCTTCCACAACTAACTAATCAACTGTTAACAGAAACTACATTAGCACAAATCGGCTATACTGGGTGAGTTATCTATGCTCTTCACTGTCCTACCAAAATACTCTTCCCAGGAGAGAAACAGTAGATCCAGGGTAAGACTCAATTTTCTTATTGCATGGTCTTTTCCACATGAGAAAAGTCAGAAAAGGTAACCCCACTGATAAAGATTTCAGTGCACCGCTGTAATCCCAGCACACAGATGAGGCAGGGGTACCATGAATTTGAGGCTAGCCAGAGTTAGTTCCAGAGTAAGACCATCTCAAAAAATCCACACATTTACAGAAGCAAACAAAAATTTTAAAATTCGGTTTTCAACACTTACTTCAAATCAAAGGGAAGTGATCTAAAATGTTATTTTACTGTTACGTTGGTAACTGTGATCTAAGCAATCTTAAACAAAAATATTTAGAAGTTTAGGAGATTTTTGATTCTCTTTCAAGGATAAAGCATTTCACATAAATTACCACAATGCTGGAAAATACTAGTCTTTTCTACTTTAAGTGACAAAAATTCAAACCTTCTATTAGCTTTGGAAAATGGTGTAAATCATCGAAGGATACCTATAAAATTACTGCAATCCTAGACATCTCTATGAAAATTACATGTGTTTTTCAATTGTGGTAAAATATACATAATGCTAAATCTACCGTGTTAACCCCTTTTAAGCTCCAGCACCAAGCTACGTGCTCAGACTCCAGTTTTATTCCTTCTAAGTACAGCCGCGCTCTGCAACTGTCACCATCCTTTTGATTCAGAACACGTTTCTCTCTCCAAAACGAAAATCTGCACCATTAAACAATAAATCCCCGCTTGTACGTCTTTTAAAGTAGAATAATTTGGATGCCGTTTTAAAAAGGCTCCAGTCAACCCCCAAAGTACAGCTGTTTTTTCCAGAAGCCAGAATCAACAGATTTGGATAAACCACCTGGTTTTGTTTTTGTTTGTTTGTTTCCAAATTCCTTAAGTCACCCCGCAGAGGACATCCACTTTTCCAGAAGCCCCGCTCTTACCTTCTTGGAAGCCTCGGGATGCAAGATCTGTCTGACATGAAGCTGCCCATCCGTACACAAACAGAAGGAAGTCCCTACCCCAATATTCAGTTCATTGCTCACTGACTGGTTAAACTGTAAAAACAAGAGACACACGAGGGATGTAACGAAAGCAGAATTCACAAGCATGTCAAAGCGGCCAAACTTGAAGACAACCCGAGAAAAATCGTCCCGGGGACTCTGAAGCCGGACAAGGTCAATATCACAAAGGACCCCCCCCCTCCCACGAATCTGCCTCTTTCCCCTAGGCAAGGAAGCTTTCCAACCCATCTGCAATTTTTTGCTGGGAAGAAGTGGATGTCACTCCCCAGCAGCCCTTATATTGAGGATGAGACTGATTAGAGGTCTCTTTTAACAAGTTGCCTTCAGATTACATCATTCCATAGTGCTGCTTTTTAAATGTTTGCATGTTCCAGGTTTCAGGCACCCGTTTCCAATAAACAAGCGGGATAAGGAAGAAGCAGAACGCTATAAGGTGGGTAACATTTCTTAGAAAATCCTCTAGAAATAACTTATTCCTTTAATAGGAAACTCCTGCGCTAGGGCAGAGCCTGGGAGAGCATACATCGCTGCACAGGTGTTGAGACCCGCCCTATCCCGGATTCTAGCAACCGTCAGCACCAACAGCAGCCAGTTTTTAGGTCACCTCAATTCCAACAGGGGATCCCGCCAGCTCCACGGTCACCCAACAGGTAGCCCCACAGGTTCGTACTTGCAACCCCTCCCTGGGATCCCAATCAAGGCACTAAAGAAGTAATGAGGAAGCCGAGCCTTTGGAAACTGAGACTTCAGGCTGAAATCAGGCGGGCGCTCAGGTGCTAGAACCAGCGCGGCACGATGGATGGTCTGCCCCTCTACACCGCTGGGCTGCAGACCCAGACCCACTGGGGACCGAGCCTGGAGTTCCGGGAGCCAGTACTCAAGACTCGGCTGGGGTATAACGCGAAAGATTCTCCCGCCCAAAGAACTCCTCAGGAGGCAACTGGAACTCAGCGCATTTCTATCCCAAGACCCTGGGGGCCGGGAAGCCAAGCACAGCAGCCCCCACAGAGCGGCCCTCCCCCGCCCCCAGGCCGGGCTCCCACACACAAGGCTGGGAGTCTCGCCACCCCGCCCCAGAAACAAGCGGAGGCCGCCCCACGAGGGCGTGGAGCCACGGGGCTGGGGGCCGCCGGGCTGGGGGTGGACGGCGTGGCCCGGCCCAAACTGTCACCTGTCGGAGGGCTTGGTCCAGCTGCGGCGCGGAAGACAGGTTTTCGGCCACTATTTTAGTTTCTTCTTTACAATCCTCCGTCAGTTCCAAGTTATCCGGTCTAACTAGCACTTCGTGCAACTGTCCCACCTCGGGGGGGAAGGGTGGAAAGTGAGGGGTCAGTCCCCTTTTTCAGTTTGGAAATTCTTCCTCCTCCCCGGCTCCCCCCGGGCCGCTCGAGGCTTTCCAAGCACTCAGCCGCAGAATCAAGGCTTCCTGGACACCCAGGGATCGGGTCGCGGCTCCCCCGCCCCACCCCCACCCTACCCGGATCAAGTCGCCGAGGCCCTGGAGGGGACCCCAGCGCCCCAAGAACTACAGCCTGGCCCAGGAGTCCCACGACCCGTAGAGAACGCGGCGCGGCAGCGCGGGCCTCTCTACCTGGGCCAGGTTTCGGAAGACTGAAACGGCTCCAAGGTGCTTAGCCAACAGGTTTGGCTTTCCTGTGGATTCTCTAGGCCTCGGGGCCCCGCTTCATAAGCGTGCAAACGAACAAAAAAAAAGAAAGAGAGAAAAGAAACCCTCTATCTCCTCTCCAGCTTCGACAATAAAGTTCTTGCCCCACTCCTTGTTTGGACCAGAACGTGGTGAAGTACCTTCTTGTTGGCCAAATCCACGACTTTCCATAACAGCAGGATCAGCTCCTTCTCATCCGAACCCAGCTTGGCTCCGGTGGCCCCAGCAGTGATCCCAAAGAGCACCACCAAGTAATCCGGAGACGCCGTCATGACGATAGGTGGGGAGGGGGAAGAGGGGGGTCGGGAGGTGGCGAGGTGGGGTTGGAAGTGAGAACGGGAAAACCTGCGCTAAAAGCCTCTTCCAAGAGAAAAAGAAAGCGCCCACCCCCCTCCTCGCGGCCGCCAGGGCAAAAGGCGGTAAGCAGCCACCCAAGCCCACACCTGGCCGGCGCTCCACACCCAGGGCAGGAAGGGGGGTGGAAGGAGGGAGCAGCAGGCCTGCCCTTTCTGTATCCAATTGCTGGTGCGTCTATGAAAAGAGCCGAGGAGCCCGGCTGCACCCCCGGGAGGCGCGCGCAATGGCTGAAAGCTTTTCTGTTTTGGGATGTGGCTCTACCTGCCCGCCCCTTTCCCCCCTCCCCCACGTGGTGCAGGTAAGAGACACCTGGCGGCGCCCGCCCATTGGCTCCTTCAAACCCAGACGTGGCAGCGGTGGGGGGGGCGCTGGGGGAGGGAGAGGAGGGGGCGGGAGACAAAGGCTGGATGAATGGGGAGGCAAGGGCTGGAGAGGAGGAGGGGAGGGGCGGGGAAGAGTGGGTTGTCATCTGCAGGGTAGCCAAGGCCAGACCGAGAAAGGGGGAGGGGGCAAAGGGCGCGCGACGGCGGGGAAGGGTCCCTGCCCGAGGGGACCCGAGGTGAGGGAGCTGGAGGAGAGCCTTGGCGGTGGGGGAAGAAGCTGAAGGGTCGCGCGGGAGGCCAAGGTGCTGGGAGGCAAAAGGAGGCCAGAGGTGAGGCCCAGGGCGCGGCGCCTGGGAGGGACCGGCCTCCGGCCCCCGGGAAGGTGCTGCGTGCAACCGCGGAACCCGGGCAAAGCCGCTCCCGAGCCCAGCACACCTTGCAGTGCAAACAGCGGGAGGGAGAAGCCCTGCCAGCCCTGCCCGTCGCGGCGCGGGAGCTGACGCTCGCTCTCTCCACCTCGGGGCGAGGAGCCGCTCCCCACCAGCCGCAGAGCCCGACGCCCTCGGGGCTGGCTAGGCAGGTCCCGGGGCGCAGTCCCAGGGCTCACAGCCGCTGAGGGACTCCCGGGGGAAGGGCCCTGCAGCCCCTTCTCGGTCCTACACTTTGTTGTGTCTTCGTTGTGCTGGCTGCTAGTTCGAGACCGGAACGCCCTCCAGGACCTGAGCACAGTTAACTGTGATTTGCCTAGGATACGAAATAAAATGCATCTGCCCCGCAGGCCTCATAAAGGCCTTCCTGAATCCGGCCAAACAAGCTTTTTGCTAAATTTCCTCCTGTCCCCACGCCCTCCACTCCTGCCTCTTGACTTGTTCTTGGAGTGTGACTTGACCAACTTAGGGCCACAGACTCTTGGGCTACGACCAACTCCACCCCCATTCCCCGCCACGAGCCACCAAGGTAGGTCATGTTGACATTTTAGCAAAGCACTAGAGGTGTAGTTCCCTCGAGTTTTCTGTTTCAACCCGGCCTAGTCTTGGGAACAGGATTCCGTCTGAAATATTACTAGCGTGGCGCCAGCTGTGCGGCCCTGCGTATTCTTGATGTGAAGTGGGGCCGCCACACCCTTGCAACCCCTGGAACCCATCGGTACCCTTCTGGGTATCTTTGTCAGGGGAAACTAGAGACCAGGCTTTCCCAGTGGAAGTCTGGACTCTGAGGAGTAGGGCGAGGAGTCGGAGGCCAGCGACGCGTTTCCCTGTATGATGAGGTGCGGCCGGAGGCGGGTGGCAGGCGGTGCAGGTGGCAGCCGCGTCCGTCCGGGAGAGCGGGTGAAGGCCTGGCTCGCACTCCGCCCCCGAGAGGGCGCTGGTACCACCCGGTCCTCCGCTACCTCTCCTGGGCTTCAAGGACGCCTCGCAGCCCCGCCCTAGCCCGGGAGTCTCTGAGCCAACCTTCCTGTCCCTAAGAGTCGCGGGGGCTGGGACTGGGCGGGGGATCTGGAAAAACCACCCAGATTGCATTGCAGTGGGCGAGGCCGCCTGGAGGAGCCGGTTCCCCTGAGCCGCATCGCCTTGGGGCTCTCTAGACGCGAGTTCTCTGTTGCTCAGCTCTACCCAGAGAGGCAACACCTGGAGAGGGCGCGGGCCTCGGCAGGACGCTTGGCACACCAGGCTGGGAGGCCCGACTGCAGGCAAGCGAATGTGCAGAAAACGTGATTACAATCGCACCTGAAACGGCTCCGACAGTACTTTGGAGTTTAGATTCATCCTTTGTATAACGAGTTTCAAAGAACTGAAGGCTTAAAGTCAGCGCTTTTGCTAGGAGATGCAGCAGTAGGAAAGCTAGAATCACGAAACTCGTAGCTGCCCCTCTTTGCAGAGACTTTCCATCCTCCACTTAGGAATGCTAGATTCTCTGTTGCTGACATTAAAAAAATAACTTAGCTTAATTTATCCAACTGGATTTACCTTAACGGGGGTTTTGTTGTTCTTGAATAGATTATCAGGGCTTTTAACAGCCAGGCATGTACTCAATTTATTGAGTAATTTGAATGAAAAGAGAGAAAGAAAAGGAAGACATGATCGCTCCCATGTGTGAGTAAAGGTTTTGTTTTGTTTTGTTTTTTTTGTTTTTTTGTAGGTATGAGGGAGAGCATAGCAGGATGCATCTGGAAGGGCCCATAGTGAACATGACTGAGCCAGGCCAAGTGAGGAGGAAACCTGAAGCAATGGCCAAAATGCCAAAAGGGACAAAAAAAGGGGAGGGGGGCCGCGGATGTAGCCAAAATGACTGGGTTATATAGGGAAAAGTGGTCCGGCCAGTCACTAGGCTGGAGAGTTCAGGGTAGATGATGGGGTTTGCCAGCTAGGAAGACCTGTAACAGAGACTGAAAGATACTGGGAGAACCTGCCTGAGTCAGCTTTGGTATGTTAATATGCGCCTCAGTTCGTCCGGGGTTTGAGACCTAACATCCCAGCCTCTTTTGGTCGTTGTTATGGCTGAACTTGGGGCATTGTCGGGGACCCAGGAAAGCTGGAATGCTGACCGAGGCCGGGAAGCGGAAGCGGAAGAGGAAGGAGTGCAGGCTGTTTCCCCCACTGCTCGCTGCCCAGGTCTGCAGGGCCACCTGGGGCTAGGGAAGTGCAGGCAGTTTCGGAGCTGTCTGTGGCTGGACCACCTAGGGCCAGCTGCTTTGGGGACTGTCTAGGATGCAGATTCCAGAAGGAACACCTGGGGCCGGCACGTTATAGCTGTTGACTTGAAACCTGCTGGGACAGATAGACTAAGGAGATAAAGTAAAATCAAGGAGTTTAGGGGAAATTTTTATCTTGGGTGTACACATGAAACTTTCAGGCCCATGGCCCTGGTTAGGGGAGGGGAGTCCTAAAACCAGGAAAAGAGAAAGGACCCCACCCTCAGGAATAGGTAGGTGGGAAAACTAGCAGGTTGATAGCAGGAATATCTGGAGTTCCTTTGACCTGTGAGAGATGGATGACCCTCTGAAGCTTCCATGCATTTGTTTATTTGCTTTTTGGATACAGGGTTTCTCTTAATAGCTCTGGCTGCCCTGGAACTTACTCTGTAGACCAGGCTGGCCTCGAACCCACAGAGATCCGCCCGCCTCTCCCTCCCAAGAGTGCTAGGATTAAAGGTGTGTGCCACCACCCAGCTTTTTTTTTTCTTAAATCCAGTCATTTATCATGAGACACAGGTGGTTGATTACTGAGTAGTCAATTTTGATATATTAATGAGCACGTCAGCCCTTTGTCCCACATTTGATACCTAAAGTAATTGTAATAACATGCACCCAAATTTGCAGCTTTGTCTTATGATCTAGGTGTTAATTCATCACTGTAAAGATGAGATTCTCAGCTGACAGTCTACAGAAACAACCCCCCCCCCAAAATCAGGGTTTCTCCGGGTACCCCAACTGTCCTGAAACTCGCCTCAAACTCAGAGATCATCTGCCTCTGCCTGCCTTCCAAGTGCTGGGATTAAAGGAGTGTGCCACCATGTGAGGCTAGTCTGCAGAAAATTTAAATTTCAAACATTCTATAAAGAATCAATACTTACCTGGCAGGGGAGATACCATGATCACGAAGGTGGTTTTCCCAGGGCAAGGCTTATCCATTGCACTCCGGATGTGCTGACCCCTGCGATTTCCCCAAATGCATAATTTGTGGTAGTGGGGGACTGCGTTCGCGCTCTCCCCTGTAAAAAAAAAAAAAAGAATCAGCAGGCCAAGTCTATTTTTTCTCTTAAAGGACTTTAAGGATTTGGGCGTGGCAGTACATGCCTGTAATCGTGGTATTTGGGAGGAGAGGACCAAGATCAAGGAGTCCTAGCTACAAGAGAGAGACCTTGTCTACAAAAAAAAAAAAAGACAAAAGCATGAAGGGCAGGCAAATTTCAGTGAAAACTGTAGATTAAATACTGTCATATCACTTTTAGTTTCACAAATTTAGTATCACTGCTCAGGCAGGAGCATATCCTTGTTTTAAGGAAGTATGAATGAAAATTTTAGGGATAAAGAGAAATGTCAGAAAATTGCTCTCCAAAGATTCGGACAAAATCCTTATAAAAATCCTTATAGGCCGGGCGGTGGTGGCGCACGCCTTTAATCCCAGCACTCGGGAGGCAGAGCCAGGTGGATCTCTGTGAGTTCGAGGCCAGCCTGGGCTACCAAGTGAGTTCCAGGACAGGCGCAAAGCTACACAGAGAAACCCTGTCTCGAAAAACCAAAAAAAAAAAAAAAAAAAAAAAAAAATCCTTATAGATGTTAATAGATGATGTCTAACGAGGGATTTTTTTTTTCCTGCCCCAGTGCTGGGCATCATTCGCAGGGTCTTGCTCTCTCACACATGCTGGGTAAGGCTTGTGGCCTCAGTGCTAGGTCAGGGCATCCTTTGTACTCTTCTCTGTAACTTCTGTAAGGCTAAGATCGCTCGCTTGAATAGCAGACTTTGCTTCAGCCTCTCCGGCCCCTGCTGCAGCCATGCAGGTTGTAGCAAGGCTCTGTGCCTCCACTGTCTTCTATGATGATGTAATGTTTTATTATCATAGAATTCATATATTTCTGTTGCTTTTCTTTA